GGGCGCCGGACCCGGTCCAGGTCCAGAGACCGGGACCGGGACCGGGAGAGGAGGAGGAGGGGGGACAGGCCCAAGAGCAAGGAGAAGGAGAAGGAGAAGAAGGCCGATAAGAAGGGTAAGAGGGAGGATCCCGGACCAGGTTTTCACCATAAAACAGACCCCCCTTTTTCCACTAATGTAAATGGATCTATCTATCCATCTAAAATATTCTATCTATTTAAAATATTCTATTTTTTTAAAATTATCTATCTATCTATCTATCTATCTATCTATCTATCTATCTATCTATCTATCTATCACACAGGAGCTCTTTCTAAGCTGGGCACCGTTTCATTCACAACACCTGTCCCACCAACCAGAACCAGATGTTTACAGTAAAAACAGGAATATATCAACCTGTGGATTATCTGAGGATCTTGATATAACACAATTTCATATAATATATATAATTAGGGGTCCCCCTCCATCAGTTTGGGGTCCTTGGCCTGGAAAACCTTGAAGACCCCTGATTTACCTTAATAAATCTTTATTAATTCGGCCGTTACTGAGGTCCCCGGATGTCACTGTAAAGAGATTTCAGGGTTTGTGGAGCTCTGAAATCTTCCCGGTTTGGGGGCCTCCAGGGTGTCAGGGGTCAGAGGTCAGAGGTCAAAGCCAGAGGGTCTGAGTTAACGCGGTTCTTCTTCTTCTTCTCTCCCTCCAGCAGAAAAGGGGGAGGAGCCTCCCGCCAAGCTGCTGGACGACCTGTTCCTGAAGACCAAAGCGGCGCCGTGCATCTACTGGCTGCCCCTCACCGAGGAGCAGGTGGGTCCCGCCCCCTATGGCCGCCGTTTCCGTTGCCGCGGCGACTAGGGTTGTCAAGATACTAAAATTTTCAACTCGATACCGATACTCAGGAAAATACTCGATACCATTTTCGATACTACAAGGATAAAAACAAAGACCCCAAAATTTAACTGAATAGTGTCTTTCATTTCAAACTGACCTGTTACTGATGTTATGGTGGAACACATTAAGGACCCTAACCCTTCATAATTGTGAGAAATAAATATTGTTTGGTTAAACTTGTTTGGACTTATTGTACAAACCTATTTAACATACACTATTTTAACATC